TTTCCATTCAGCTGACCCACTCCCGCCACAGTCTTTTCCCCAACCACACACACAAGGGGTTTATCACACTCTTATTTACCCCGCAAGTCTCCAAGCCCAGTGGGGAATTGCCTTCCCGCTCTCTGGTGGTTTCCCAGGGCTATGTCCCCAGTCTAAGGAATTTGTTCAGTTCACTCATGAACTCGTGATCGTCCTAGGGGTCTCCACTCTCCTGCTTGATCCTTCAGGTGCTCCACTGGCCTCTGGCCTGCTCACTAAGGGTCCAGCAGGCAAACACGGGGTGGGACCAGCTCTTTTCATGCAGTGTGTTTCGCGCTCTCCACCCCAGGGCCAGGAAGACACTCTGGTTTTAAGGGGATCCGCCCAGCCAATCCCTGGGCTGGAATTCTCCCCGGCTCCCAAACTGCTTTTTTGAATCTTGCATCCCCTTGCAAGATCAGTTCAGTATATAGATCATACTGCATACAGTATGCAGATCATACATAGTAGATCAACTACTACATATTTCAGTATGTAGATCATACTGAACTACAAATATGGTGTCCCTGTTGGGACAGTCTCCCTCAAGCGTTCAGGCAGAGCCCAATGTAGGACACTTGGAAACTAAGTGCCCCTTAAGCTGCCTGTTACACACAGAAGAAAAGAATTGTATATGAAAGGTTGACCATATAGTTTGAAGACAGAACACCAAGACAAGTGAAGTTTCTCACCTTCTCATCTGGCTACAACCTAGCCCTTCAGGGTGCTGCCAATATTTGCGGAATTCAGCCTTCCTGCTAATCTACCAGTCCTGACTACTGGGGGGCCTAAGACCTGGGTTAATCCAAAGACAACCATTGCCTCACACATAGGTCCTAAATACCTCCAAGCAAGCCCTCCCCGCACCAAGCATTATTCTATTTGCTGACAATTCTCCAGGAAGTTCTTTCTGGGGCACCTGGAATTCCCCTAGATAATGGCCCATCTCCTGGAGATTTCTTTCATTATCATGGACCCGTTTTTTTCCTATTACAAGCAGACAATACCTTGGCTGTCCATTCCAACAATAGCCCTGTCTTCCATGTGTTTGAGTGGCAATTGTTCTTGCCCCTATGCAACTGGCCAGTGATACTGGTTTCACCTTCCCTCTGTTCCTTTGACAGATAAACAGTTCTTCACTAGAGGTTTGGCCATACCCTTTCACTAAGTCACGTCCCAAAATTGTAAGGATATATACAGAAAACGTAACATCATACAGAGAGCTATAAAAATGATATTAATGAAAACAGCTTAAGAATGGCTTTTAAATGAGATAAAACACAATGTTACGTCAATCAACTTTGGGCCAGATGTCTCTATGGAAGACACCCTAATCCCCAAAAGCATGCCTGGTTTTGTGACATAATGTACAGGGGATACAATAGCTTTTTCAGTGGTGGCATTTTCTCCTTACCCTCTCATTAAAGCTCAAGGTACTTCAATGAATTTACTCATATGCTTGAAGTTAAATATATCAGTTCCTTCTTGAATCAGAGCCAAGTTAAGCCAACAGTGTCAACTCTAGGATACAACCAGTTTCAACACTGGTCCTAAGAAAGGAAATTACCCTGCTTCCGGTTTGACCAGGGGTCGACGACCACCCGGAGATGCTGCCACTGCCGGCCAATTGCAGGGGGTGCACCGCCAATCTCAGGGTGTGCACATGCACCTGCATGCACCCCCTACGCATTGCCAATGATTTTGGGGGCCACTGTATTTGTGCAGTGTCAGTACTCCAATAAGGCTGGATACAAAGGGCTACACCATGATTTTGTTTATACAGAGGTAAATTCAAAGTTACTCCAGTATGGTGGCGGAGGCAGGGTAGAATGCCTGTTTTACCCTCATGAGCAGTTAGGAGTGCCCACTTCCTATCAGAGCAGCTATACAAATATAGATGTTTTTTATCAACCCAGAGGTGTAATGACTGGGTACCTGGGGCAGCAGCCATGCACAGTGGCAGCAGTGATGTCCAGTTGCCACCTCACTGCTGGCATGAACCTGCAGCTACAGTGGCAGGGTTTTTTCCCTGCCCCCTGCAAGTCAGTGACCAGGGCAACGGCCCCAGTTACCTGACCATAATTACACCACTGTATTAGCCTACTCCATTTGGTGAGGCCTTTCCTATATGCTACAGTTGATTACTCAGGAAGGAGTTATTGACATGACATGACAGAGGGGTATCACTGATGTGAATCAGGTGGTAGGTTATAAATAGAAAGCTTGTATTTTTTGGAGGGGTGGGGAGCGGGGAATATCTTCTGTGTTGAAGTATAGCTGTTTTCAACCTAGTCAGTGGTAGGGGAAATGAGACAAGAAAGAGATGATACTTGGTAGATTTTTATTTGTTTGAGCGGTCAGATTCCATCCTTTAGATATTAATCTAATGCACAAAGACCCACTGGAATGTGTAGACACAGGAAAACCTGTTATAATATCAATCATCCACATTTTTGTCACTTACTTACCTAACAGTCTTGTGTGGTCTGGCAGCAACACACTTGGTAGCAGAACAGTAGGGGAGTACTAGATTGCTACATAGGGGACCAGGGTCTGACTTTTAGATCTGGCCTAACTTTTGTGATAGAACAAGAAGCAGCATATACACATGGGTGAAATGCAGAGTGTACACTACCAAGAAAGAGCAATTAGTAGTGAAAAGCAATCCCAGCTCACTGTCTCTCTTAAAAAAAAGTCTAAAAGTATTTCTAGGTTATAATCTCATAATGTAGCAGCAGCTGTAGGTAACAGCCTTCCTTTTTCCTGTCCTTGTGTGACAAGCTATTTAGCAGAATTCACAGATTCATTGGACTCTGACAGGGCCATGCCATGAGCACTTCTGCTGTAGCCTCAAATAACAGCTGAAAAATGTAGGTAGAAAGACCTGGGGGCGGGGGGGATGAATAGCCAAGATGTGGGAGGAGTGGGGTAGGGGCAGAAGTAATTCCAGCAATGTAGATTTTAAAGCTGTCTCATGGAACAAAAATATTCCTGGATTGAACTGAATGTTGTTTACAATTCAGGGTGGAACGGACATATTTCCTTCAAACAGCTTTGAGCATTTAAAGCTCTGTACAGGTGGTGCTACTCTGGGGTTTATATCTTTGCTTAGCCCTAAATTTTATGGGAATAAACCTAGAGGGGGATGTTGGAATATCAAAGCCCCCTTTCCACAAAATGTGCTATTTTTGTGGGTGTTGTCATGGGCATCCAGCCCACTCAGTATTTTGTTTATGTATAAATAATATATCAAGAAAGTGAACTCAGAAATGGATGGGATGGCAGGCTGCCCAGTGGATAGCCATAAAGACAGGATTACTGGAAAAGAGACACTAAATAAATGCTGCACTTCAATAAAAAAGTGACACTACGTTATAACATAATTGCGTGCTTTATTGATATACACAGTAAAGCAGTATATAATACAATAGTAAGGCATATATTTGGTGAAATTTGATATGTTGTGAAAAATGCAGTAAAACTGAAGTTTATAAAAATAACTAGTAAATGTTACAGTGTTGGTGTTAAAACACAATATATTATGAGATCCAAGTAATAAACCAGTACTGAGTAACAATGGAATAACATGCCATATGATAGTTATGTATTCAGTTACACTGATTATGTTTTACAGTTTAATACTCTGTGGTTATAAGAAACATGAAATAATTTCCAAATTATGCTTAAAAAGCAGTAATAAAGCTCTCAACTTTTTAAATATTTTTGACAGACTCACTCCAAAACTAATGTCTAGAAAGTAAAAACAAACAAACAAAAATAAAACCCTGATGAAAACAATCGTGCAATCCATTTACCTCAATGTTCTTGAAGAGGTCTAACTTATAAGAACAAACAAAAAGAAACAAATCCCTTCCTTAAATCTCAAGTTGAGCTTTCTTGAAGAAAGACCATGAGAAATATATAGGGTACCAATTGTAAATAAAGCATTAAAAAAGCTATTTATTATGAAAGTGGAGGCTTGGGTTTTGTATTTCTTTGTAAATTTATTATTAATGATTCTTATTAAAATGATGAGAACTCTTCACACAATGGACAAGTGGTGACGATGTAACATCTGAATGTAATTGTCAGGAACACCACGAAACCAAAGTGAGGTAGAAATAGCATGACTAACCATGTTCAATGTTAACTAGCATTCAAAATAAAATCTCTCCCAAGTTTAATTACACTTCATACAAGAAGAGGTAACAGATTTTTTTAACCTTGCAATGTAATGTTAGATGGCAAATATCTAGGTGTCCTAAGATGAAGTTAAAGGCTGGTATAAGGAAATGAAATGGTAAAGCTTTTGCTAACAGCACCTCAGACCCCAGCCTAACTCTGATGAGCTGCTATTGAACTGGTTCGTCTATTTTCTGTTTTCTCTCTCTTGAATAACTGTTAATTGTGCGGTATTACTTAGAGAGAGAAATGGGGAGGAAGAAAATATAAGGACCCTTGTTGATGACATCTCTCTCATGGAGCAGTGTGGCTACCTTCACCTGACCATCAAACACAATGACAGCAGAAATTCTTTTACAGTGTTTCTCAAAGATTGCTATAAGTGCTGCAGCTCCTTGGAACTTGCTGCTAACAGGAATAGGTTCCGACATATTGTGGAAGGGTTTACTTTTCTACCCCAAAGCACTGAGTAACCTTATGACAATTAACAATACTGGTAGCTATGCACACTAAACGCTATGTAAGTAATCACCCATGCTTCAGAGCAGAAGCTGACCACCCCTGGGAGTCAGGAAGGAATTTCCCTCTCTCTACATCCTGATGTAGAGCAGAGGGCTTTATGAGTGGGAAGGGGTTACATCAAACTTGTGCTGAAGCATCAGGTACTGGCTACTGCCAGAGGCAGGATACCGGACAATAAGGTCCAAAGATTTAATCCGGTAAGGCAATTTCTGTTTCATTACTAACAACATTCAGGATTTTAGTCAGTAGAGGAAACAACTGGAGCAGAGGATATTTATTAAACTTGATTTTTTACAGGCTCTGAAGATAGCATTGTCATGTAATGTGCTCTTTCATCTTATTATTGCAAACTATCTGGGTGATTCATGTAATCCTTAAGTTTTACTTGAAAAGAGGTGGACTAACTACCTCGACTGGAAGTTCAGAGGATTGTTTAAGCCAGCCCTAGTCAGACAAAAAATGATGAGAAATGTAAGTCAGCTGTTTTGGTGTTGTTACAGGAAATACTTTCTTTGATAGGCAAGGAAAAGAACACAGAACATGAAGATATATCTGGTACAGTTACAGAGCTGAAATGATGCTAAACAAATGCACTGCCTCAATTTTTTTGTTTGTTTTTAAGGGGGTTTCTATAAACAATTTTTTTTTTATAAAGCACACTTTAGTTTACAATCTTTCTTTATAACTGTTATAAATTTTTTAAACAACCCGAAATGCGTTCCATATAAAGAAATGGCAAGTTATTTAGCTATCAAGATTTTACATGGAGTTCTCTTATAATTTTTGTACAATTGCATAGACGTGTAAAACCTGCCATTGTTAACAAAACAATAACAGACTTAGGAAACTACTGAAATCTACAGTATAGTACCACTACCCTTCACAAAAATATAGATTTGTTTTCTTGTAAACTCTTACAGTCTAATCCTTTTTTGTTGTATGAATATTATAAAAACCATGCGGGACGCCTGAAGTTGTAAAACACATCTTGCTATTCTAACACCTTGTCATCAGTCATCACTGTAACTAAGGTTTCCATTGCTCTGCCCAGGTCATCTGCCATGTGGAAAAGGCTCCCTACATTGTGGCCTGAAAAACAAAGGCAAAGAAGAAAGTCATTCTAGAAAAAGACAAGACAGTAAAACATTACATTCAAACATTACATATACTACATATGAGCAGCTTGGAACATACCTCTCCACACAAATGCCAAGTTTTGTACAATGTAGGATATTCTTTCTAAAAAAACCCTATACCAAGCCAAATATAAGACGACAGTATGGGATTATTTGCACATTAATCAATAGAGGTGGATGAATCTAGACAGCCAATACCGGTCTGAATTTTAGCAATGGCTCATTCCTTTGCTTTCTAGAAAAAATGAGTAGTGATCAAGTTTCAGTGGCATTAATATTCACCAAAAGCAAGTAGGAAAATTCAAAGTCATGGTTAACCTGGGAAACCAAAGTTTAAATCTAAAACTGTATTAACTTGGTGCTGGAGATCTTTAACCAGTCAATGAATAAAAAGCAATGGCTTGAAGCATAATTAACAGCTCAACTAAAAGACAATCCAAAGCTAATTGGAGTCAATGGGAATCAGGTCTTTAGTGAATATCTAAAGCTGCAATAAAACAAAAGAGTTAAATAAGTCACAAATAAGTTTACCGAATTCTTTCAAATACATTAATCTGCCTTCTTATTTCTGGATTGCAGATATTCATTTAGCAGGAAAAAAGGCTATTATTTTTCAAATAAATGATTTGCTCTGGTTTACTTAGGTCACATACAGGCATTACATTTCTACTGGGAGAACTGCTGTTCTCCTGGTATAAAGGACAAGTGTATAAGCATTCATGCAATGTCTCCTGAGGGAAACATGTCTCCTACTGGAAAAAGATCTTCTGGCCATCAACCTGGAAGATCTCCCTTGCAAGAGCTTCTCTTGTATGCTCTCTGCTCCTAGCCTGGTCTATGTGGGGAGGGGAGCAGCCACTGCTGTTCTATGCCTCTTCTCCAAACCAGGAAGTCTCTGGTCTGGAGAAGATGGAGAGGAGCTCTGCCCCACTGTCTCCTTTGCTCTGCTCCTGAAGGCTGTGGGTACCAGCTCTAAACATACTGTATGCGGGGAAACTTCCTTCCAACAAAGCTCCTGAAAAGCCAGTGCATATTACCTTCCCCATGTTGCTGCTACCACTGAGTTGAGTGGCATGGGAGGGGATATCAAAGCCCATACGGCTAAGAACCAAGGCCAGGGAGCTAAGCCCAACACTAGATCCTAGGTTTTGGGGCTTTAAATACTACCCCACCAGTTTGAATGCCAGCTCACAGCCTGGCATGCTTTAAATGCTGCATGTGTCACCCAGTTAGTTGTGTACACAGTGATTTTAAAATCCAGGGAGCCTGGACAGCTTTTCCCAACCATGCTTCCCTGAGCCTTTGGCCTTAATAAACCCATGTGCTACACACAAAGCAATTTAAACACTGGGGGACTGCCTATTGACATCTTGCCCCATTTCCAGGCAAGGGTGAGGACAGGCTGTCAAGTAAAGGGCTCCCCTAAGGGCAGGGAGATCCAGGGAGCAGCCCTCCTGTACCTCATGGCTAGAGAACTCGCGTGTGTAGCTCTCAAATAAGGGGTCTGGAATAAATGGATTGTCCTGCTTCTGGGATATTTCAATCTCTTGCATTTTTACCAGTAGAAACAAATGCTTGTCTGTAGCTTTAGTCAGCTATAGTCACTGGTATCAATGGTATTCATTAATACCATGAGATATGAATGCTGTTTTGGATATACAGGGTGCAAAACCTCAATGCATGTTGTAAAATGAAAGTTTTCCCCAGGATGCTTATTCTAGGACTCTAGTGATAAAGATCTACACCTACTTCTCCCACTAATGCCCTCCACGGAGCTACCTTTGTGGAATCTTTACTTGTTGTTAATTGCCTGTTTGTTACAGTATTACTCTCCATTAAAACACATCCTACAAAGATATGTTGAAACTGCCTGAGGGGTTTGATTCACTCTGCTGATGGGAACCCTACTAGCAGAAGGTCATTTTAGAAGACAGTTAGACACATGCTGCCACAACTCTTCTTCACAGGAGCAGCTGGACTGATTTGGCACAGTCCAGAGGCGG